ATACTCTAGGCAACAGCACAGGTGATAACTATGCCTGCTAAAAGAATCTTTTTCAAACCATACTACTTTTCTCCTTCTGTGTGAGAATATATGAGGACCTAGAGATGGTCTTGAACTGAGAAGTTGAATGTATATATCTTAATATCATATGGAGGAAGATGGGAATGAAATTGCTCTTTCCAGAGTTGCATGCTCACCTTCAGGCCTCAGTTCCATTGAATTTCAAGTTGCCACCATGATAAGCATATGAGATAATCAGAGAAAAAATTGCCTGGCAATCCTCTTTCCATCTCAGAGCCTTGCATCTGATTCTAATCAAGATTATGAAGCTGCCCTCACGATTCCCTCAGCATAATTAGGCAATCAGAAACTCCAGTCATTGTGGAATAACTATCTTCCAGATTCCTTATATTTTTAAAAGCAACTTTTATTTTTAACTTTAGATGCTCATTGCTTCTTTCTCAGAATTCTGTTAATTGTGCTGTTAATACTAATAACTTTGGAAGTAATAATTCAGGAACATTCTCCCAGGGTATTGGTCTAAGGATTAATAGCTCCCTAATTGTCATCTCCATTGTGGACTCCATGGGCTTTCAAGTAGAAAATAAGAATCAGATTTTCCATGTTGAGTACTCCATTGATAAAAGTAAAAATACCAAAACTGTCTGTCTCAAGGAGTTATTGAAGCTTGGTTTACATGGAAAGCACAGTATCTTTAGAAGCATTGGGATCAAAGATATTAATCTTTTAATTCATATGCTTGTGCATTCTGGAGCACAGCATGTTGAAGAATTTACCTGTGTTCTTGTATACCCATTTAGCAGAAAATCTACAGTTGTATTGCTACCTATCTGTTTACTTTCATACATGTCTGTAAGACTTTCGTATTATTCCTGTGTGGCTTCTAGAGACAACTGGTTGTGCTGCGTATTCATGATGATCAAGGTGAAAATTGAAAAACATATTGTGTGGCACACTTACAGTTCAGTATCAGAATTAAAAAATTTCATTTACAGCAGTGGTTCTCTCATTGTCATACTGGGGATTGCTTCTTTGGCACATTCTCTTATGGACCATGTTTTGTTATAGAGTCTCTCTCTGTCCCAATTCCACCCTTTTTCTGTGGCAAATATAATGCCTGGTCAGATGACAGTAATATTTACAACACAATTGGGAGATGAGATGAAAATAAACTCACTTCAGTGTGGTGGATAAGACACTTGGTTTATTCTCTTCTTCTCGCCTCTTGTCAATATCTTCTCATTTTGTATTTGTTCCGTTTTTTCCCCTGTTCAGGGATGTAGGTATTTGGCATTTTAGTTCAGATTCTCTCTCTTCACTGCCTGTAGCTGTCGTATAGCCTTGGTAAAGCTCCCTCTGCTGGAGACTCACCAGGCTGCTATGTTTGTGACCACCACTCTGGGGCACTTTAAACTGTGTGCTCTTAAGCTTCCTTAAGATCTTTGCAGGACAAGAACACAGAGGGTACTCAGTAGGGCTTCTAGGAAAGGAAGAACCAGATCTCTTCAGACAGAACCTGCCTCCAAAAAAGCCTACGTCTTCTCAAGGGCCAACCGTTTCAGAGACCTCATGTCACCGTCTCACCTGCATGTAAAAAAGCTGACAAAAAATTGTTCCAGTGAAAAATTCCGAATTTTTGTTTACACACCCTCTTCCTAACTTTTTGGTTGTTGATGCTCTCAACAAGCACAGCAGATATCATTCCAAGGCATCATTTTATGATGGACCCAAGAATGCACAGATGTCTTTGATTGCAAGAGCGCCTCTTTCACGATGCTACAGTACAAGATTACACTTCACCATTAAAGCTTGGTAATTTGCAATCACATCAACTACAGCAAATGTAATTTATTGAATATCTGTCCGCTTGGAACTTCAAGAACCGACCAGTGGAACGCGATCATCACTAAGGATCAGCTCCTGACAAGGGTCTTGGCTACTGTTCAGACCACTGTAGAGGACCTTCCCTTTGACATAGGTAAGCTCTTCAATGAGTATACTGATTAGTCCTTGCCACACCCTCAAGGGTTCAAGGTCCACACTGCTCACTTTGGATCTACACACCTATGCAAAAGAGTTAGCAGGTCACAGATGGCTCAGAGTTCCTGACCAGTCTAATTCCGTACCTTCCATCGGCCTACTGAGCCACCCAAGAAGAGATCTAGTTATCAGAAAAGTAATCCGTCTTCTGTATTGATTACGACTACCCAGCCTTCCTCCGCTGATCATCAATTTTGATGTTTTTGGTTGAGGATCTGGAACAGCCTCAACTTCAGATTCTATCAGATCTCAAGCTACTTTCATGGCACTGTTAAAAACATGTACCAGTTGCAGAAATTTGCAGAGCTGCCATTTAGGCTTCCATTCATACTGTCTCCAAACATTATACTTTAGTGTATGCCTCTAGAGCAGATGTGCCTCTCAGCACTGCAGTTCTGCCATCAGTCTTAGAATCTTCTCCGAAGCTTCCGCCTTCTTCAGGAAATATTGCTTGGGAGTCACCTGGAGTGGCACACCTAAAGGGACATTATTTTAAAAAGGAGAAGTTGTTTACCATGTACAGTAACTGGAATTCTTTGAGATGTTTGACCCTATGGGTGCTGCTCCACTACCTGCTTTCCATCCGCTCTGCTTTGAAGTCTTGTATTGTGAGAGTTTGTAGAGGAGAAGGAACTGAGGGGTTATTCATCCACATGGCTCTATATCTCCTCAGTATGGGGTATGAGGATGCCTGGAGAGCACGTGTGGGCCAAAAAGGCACTGCTGCCAAAAATCTGCTATCAAAGGTGCATGGGGTACATGTGCACCTGAAGTGAAGTGCCCATAGGGACAAATACCTTGAACTCCACTTCTGTTCGGCGTAATTAACCTCGCCTTTCCCATATCACTATTAAATCCACAGACTGCTTTTATATCCTACCTCACTACTGACAGTACCCATGGCAAGAAAACCCCAGTGTCCTGCTATGACACAACATACACATAACTCTGTGTTGAAATGATGCAGACTGGGAACCTGTAGGTACAGATACACCTCTTTCCTTTGACAACGCACATGGCAGGGACTCAGACCCAGATTTCTTCATAGCACAGTCACAGCTCTGTAATGTGCTTTAAATAAATTCCCAGGTCTCCTCATATCACAATCACAGCTCTTCCAAGCTGTTCCAACTTATTCCTCCACCATTTAATATGCTCACCTAACACAGTGAATGCAGCTGGAGTAATTTCCAGTAGCTGTTCCCAGCTGTTAAGATTGTATTAGATTAAGATTGTTAAAACTGTGTGGACGTTTACCTTAATTCTGTATTTCCTGGTTTTCAGAAGTTTGAACTTGCTGTTCTGGAAGGGCCCACACTATCATTGGGCACCCTTAACTCTGCATTAATGAACCTTTTTGCCATTTAATTTTTCTGCACTCATGTTTCTTATCTCTTGCCTCTGGATTTCAATTTAGAGGGTCTGGTAGAGGGGTTGGGAGTAACTAGTTCCGCTTATGCCTGCATTCACAGGTCATAGTATCAGTGTCCCAGGATGAGGCTTTTAAGGGAATTGGGGCTCAGCTTCACCCTGTGCTGGGCTTAGCTCACATTTCCAGGTCCTAGTAGTCACATGGTAGAAAGTTGAGAGTAGGCCTGGTGGGATATAAAGGGCAAACTGAGATTAGGAAGAAGTGGGGCTCTCCTTAGCCTCCAAGCAGACAGCCTGAGTATGCAACCCTGCAGGGAGCAGGCTGAGAAGGCTGGAAGTCAGTATGGTGGAGGAAGGCTCCAGCAGAAGGGAGCAGAAAGGCAGATGACCTGAGGAGCCAAGAGGGAGTAGATACACTCCTGTAGGAGACTTCAGGTCAGGAGAAAGGGCATGATTTTATAGTTTGAACTTTTTGAAAAATAAAACTCAATTCCTGAAGAATAGGGATTGAAAACCTGTTGGAAGTGGATTCAATGCACTGGCTGGTGAGTTGGCCCACTGGCTTGCAGTCTACTTAAAGTTGCCTCACAGAGCGTGTTGCAGCGTACCTCAGGAATGTGAAAGGGTACAGAATAGCAGGCTGAGGCCAGGTATATCCAAAGTACACGTGATTGTGGATAAATAGAACACATGTTCCTAATCAAACCTAAAGCAATCTGGCTGACAGTTCTGTCTTCAGAAGACTTACTTCCCCTCCATATGTGTGAAGTTAATAAAGGGAAAAACAAACATCACATCAAGTAAGCATTTTAATTAACAATCAAAATACATAATTTTATACAGTTTTAGATGTGTGTTTGCGTGATGCATGGATTTTTGCAAAATACACCATTATAGTAAAATGGAGCAGGGGGAGTCCCACTGCTCAACAGTAGACCAGTTCTATCCTTTATTGGTTCTAAATGGTAGCGGTAACACAGTAGATTCATAATAAGCTTTTATATAGTGCTTCTCATCCATGGATCTCAAATAGCTTTACAAAGGAAGGTAGGTATCCTTATTGCCATTTTACAGATAGTGGAACTGAGGCAGAGAGGTGGAATGAGTTGGTCGTACAGCAGGTGAGTGGCAGTGTAGTGAGTCCCAGGCCAGTACACTATTTGGTTGTTGGAACAGGACTGACACAGCTTGGCTTCTGTTGTGGGTTGAAAGTCTTATCCTAGGTCTTTGGGGCTTTCAGCTCATTTAAAAATAGAGTTGTAAAAATGAGGCTTTATTAGTCCAACACGTCGTCATAAATAAAGTGAGGAACACAATGAATATTGAAAGTAGTCTGCCATTTTGTTGTTGCTGCAGATTGTGTGCGCAAGTACTGTATGGCGTTCTTCCTCCAAATAAGTTGACTGTACTCCTTACCTAAAGTTATATATTGGAGTCCTGTGTGAATATTTTCTAAATACAAGTACAATATAAGTCTCTAGAACTTAAACTGATAAACATTTTTATATACTTTATTTGCATGAGAATTGTTTATGTACGTTAACTCTTATCTTCCTCCTCTTTCTCAGAGAACCCAAGCTGCATTGCAAGCAGTGAATGCTGTGCAGTCTGGAGCCCTAGCCCTTACAGGTGCTCCTGCTACTGAGGGTGGACTCCTTCCAGGTCAAAGTTCTGTTCTCCGAATTATTGTTGAAAACCTTTTCTACCCTGTCACTTTGGAAGTGCTGTATCAGGTAACCAGGTGTGGGGAGAGGAAACAAATGGTTATTAAATACTATCTATAATGCTAGTGTAAATCCAGTAACACTTTGTCTCGAAATTGTACTTTGGGTGCTCAACTTGTATGAGGATTGCCACTTCAAGGCGAACTGTAGTCAATTATTATAGAACCATATTTGAATGGATTTAATTCAAAATGGCAAATTTATTCTTTGTTCTTACTAGTGACACTTCCATGCCTTCTTTTGATCCTCCTGCTTCTTTGGATAAGGACTTCTAAACAGCATGTTGAGGAAGAAACAGCAAAATTGGAATGCTTTATTGTTAGCTTTTCTGCCAATTTTTTTGACAGTTCATACCTGGGCATACAGTTGCTCCTAAGAATTTATGTAAATATTCGGTTTCGTTATCATTTTTTGGACGGTCAGACTGACATAATTTTATTTTAGTTGCAATATTTACCTATAAATAACCTAATTTATATGGATTTGAAGGAAGTGTGTGTTCTAGAGACTGTATACTTAGCCCCTGGGCAAGGGGAAGTGCTTTATCAGCAGCAACCCCCTGGTTAATTTTAAGATGCATGATGAAAAGACTGTAATAGAGATTCCTGTTCTGTCCTTTACCAAAGAGATGATGGCTGTAGTGTAGGAACCGTAAGCTTGGGAGGCTTAAAAACTAGGTGAGTGGTTAGGGTGATCAGTCATAGGTAAGGCTATCTGTTAGTCACAGATATTTTTAGTAAAAGTCACGGACAGATCATGGGCCCTAAACAAAAATTCATGACCCGTGACCTGTCCATGACTTGTGCTAAAAATACCTGCCCTGACTAAAACTTGGGTGGGGGGTCATGCGTGCTGGAGGTGGCGGGGGTGGGGGGCACTGTGTATGTGCTGGGGGAGGTGGCCCGGGACCGCCGCTGGTACTGGGGGAGGAAAGGGTGTGTGGCTGGGCTGGCAGGGGCTTCCTACCCGGCTCCGTGTCATTAGAGCTCCTAGGCGGCGGGGACAGGGGCTCCGCTTCTCCTGCCACAAGCACCAGCTTCCGCAGCTCCCATTGGCAGGAAACCGCAGCCAATGGGAGCTGCGGGAGCGGGGCCTGCAGGCAGTGCGGAGACCCTCCACTGCCTAGGAGCTGCACGGGGGCCATGCCAGTGGGAGCTGGGGAGGGCCCCCCCCGCCCCTCCCAACCCCCTGCCCCTAGCCCTGAACCCCCTCCCACATACCCAAACTGCTGCTGCTGTCCCAGGGGCTGCCCGGCTCAGGCAGCCCCTGAGCCAGCACCAGACACTGCAGAAGTCACAGCAAGTCACGGAATTCGTGACTTCTGTGATCTCCATGACAGACTCACAGCCTTAGCCATAGGTTTTTGGTTGACCATATTGACAGTGGATGGTGATACATTCAGCCCTTCCTTTTCATTCTAATGTTTAAAAGACTAATCCATGTTCTTGCCTCCATTCTCGATTACTGTTACCCATATTGCTGACCCCCAGTTGATCCAGAGATCAGCAACCACGTTATTTTCCTCATCTGTTGACCAGATCATTGCTTTTCCTTCTAACTAGCCCTGTAGGTTTCTCCACATCCAATGTATATGTTTAAGTTTACTGTCCATGCCTTCAAGGCCCTGCACAACTCTGCTCACACTTGGATCTAGTGTTTTGTTGCATTCCTCCTTGCTGTTCATGTTCTTCCAACAACATTCCCTTTCCTCCTTCCACTCCCCTTTCTGCTGTCTCACATGCAGTGTCGTATGCATGGATATTCTCCAATTCCAGTGTGTTCCCCACATTCTTCTTATTCAGATCCTTTATTATTATTTATTATTTATTATTATTATTATTATTATTATTATTATTTGGTTACTGTAGCACCAAGGAGGACCAGTCAGCAACCAGGACCCCATTATACTAAGTTCTGTACAAACACAGAACAAAAAGATGGTCCCTGCCCCGAGGAGCTTACAACATAAGTATAAGACGAGATGACAAAGAGTGAAGTGGAGAGAGGGGAAAACTTATGTTCAGTTTCTCCTTCTACTGAGTCTTACAGTGGATCTTTTGTCTTTCTATGTCTTCTATGTAAGCTATCAGGCAGGGATATCGTCTTGTACACACTGATTACTCTTGACAAATAAATTGTATTTTCAGATCTCATGGACAGTTATTCTTGTGGTTTCAAAAATAAAACCTGGCTACATGAGATGTTTAGAAAAGATCTTCAGTTACTGAACCCGTAGAATTCATCCAGCTTTGCACCTAGTACTTCGAGCTGTCATAGAATCATAGAAGATTAGGGTTGGAAGAGGCCTCAGGAGGTCATCTAGTCCAAACCCCTGCTCAAAGCAGGACCAACCCCAACTAAATCATACCAGCCTGGGCTTTGTCAAGCCGGGCCTTAAGAACCTCTAATAATGGAGATTCCACCACCTTCCTAGGTAACCCATTTCAGTGCTTCATCCTCCTCCTAGTGAAATAGTGTTTCCTAATATCCAACCTAGATCTCCCCCACTGCAACTTGAGACCATTGCTCCTTGTTCTGTCATCTGCCACCACTGAGAACAGCTGAGCTCCATCCTCTTTGGAACCCACCTTCAGGTAGTGGAAGGCTGCTATTAATCCCCCCCATATTCTTCTCTTCTGCACACTAAACAAGCCCAGTTCCCTCAGCCTCTCTTCATAAGTCATGTGCCCCAGCCCCCTGATCATTTTCGTTGCCCTCCGCTGGATTCTCTGCAATTTGTCCACATCCTTTCTGTAGCGGGGGGACCAAAACTGGATGCGGTACTCCAGATTTGGCCTCACCAGTGCCGAATAGAGGGGAATAATTACTTCTCTTGATCTGCTGGCAATGCTCCTACTAATGCAGCCCAATATGCCGTTAGCCTTCTTGGCAACAAGGGCACGCTGCTGACTCATATCCAGCCTCTCATCCACTGTAATCCCCAGGTCCTTTTCTGCAGAATTGCTGCTTAGCCAGTCGGTCCCTAGCCTGTAGCGGTGCATGGGATTCTCTCCTACATGCAGGACTCTGCACTTGTCCTTGTTGAACCTCATCAGATTTCTTTTGGACCAATCCTCCGATTTGTCTAGGTCACTCTGGACCCTATCCCTACCCTCCAGCATATCTGCCTCTCCCCCCAGCTTAGTGTCATCTGCAAACTTGCTGAGGGTGCAATCCATCCCATCATCCTCAAAGACAGCTTGTGAATCCCTGCTCTCAACTGCTTTGTGTGAAACTCCACTTCTCAAACCAAAACTCCCATGTATTCCAGCATCTCTGGAGGTCTAGAACAAAGGCCCTTCTCTTTATGCCAGTTCTGAGCAAGATCTGTGGCATGTAGCTTGACAGACAGTGACTCTTGCTCTTGGAGAGAATTACGTTTTGATTTTTTTGGCAGATGGGGAGGAAGTTAGTGGCTAGTAGAAAATATATTTTATGAACTTGCCTCCAAAACATGTATTCTGATAGAATTGAGAATTATTTTGTTAATTTCTAATATAAAATTTATTCTCGGAAAAACAGTATCTCAAGAGCTAAAATTGTGTACTCTATCTGAAAAATTCAGCTACTCTTAAAGGTCTAAATTCTTTATTTCTCGATTATTTTTTTTTAAAAGATTTTCTCCAAGTTTGGAACTGTCTTGAAGATTATCACCTTCACAAAGAACAATCAGTTTCAGGCCTTGCTTCAGTATGCTGATCCAATGAATGCAAATTATGCCAAAATGGTAAGCATAAAGGTGTACTTCTGACCTATTTAGTCCATATAAAATAAATTACAAAAACGTTCTTTACATGTAAATGGTTTTGCTATGAGCTGCACTAGTGTTAGAGTTTCTTGACACTTTAGTAATATTTAAATTCTCTTACTGCTCAAGTAGCTTTGGGGTTTTGTAATTGTTATAGAGAATGATTCGATGAACCTTAGTACTTTTACTACTAATTATGCATTACTGGTCTTGAATAATTTCACCTGTCTACCTGGTCTCAGGTTAAGGCTAGTACTCCTCGCTTAACGTTGTAGTTATGTTCCTGAAAAATGCGACTTTAAGCGAATCCAATTTCCCCATAAGAATTAATGTAAATGGGGGGGCTAGGTTCCAGGGAAATTTTTTTTCACCAGACAAAAAACTATATATATGCCCTCAAGGGTTAACACGTTGTTAATGTAGCCTCACACTCTACAAGGCAGCACGAATGAAGGGAGGGGAGACAGCATGGCAGACAGACGCACATACCCTGTGTGTGGGAGAGAGGGAGAGATGCACATTACCGCTTTAAGTATGCTGACCCCACTCTAAGTACATTGCCTTTAAAAAAAAAAAAAAAAAAAAATTAGGAAGTTGCTGCGGCCAGCAAGCTCTCTCGGTCCTGAGCCCTGTCTTGTCCCCATCCTGCTCTATATGGAGAAGGGGTAAGCGGGGGGCAGGAGTAGGAGGGAGGGGGACACCCTGACATTAGCCCCCCTCTTCCTCCCTCCCCTGCACAGCAAGCAAGGAAGCTCCTGGGAGCAGCTCCAAGGCAGAGGGCAGGAGCAGCACATGGCAGTGGGGGGAGGGACAGCTGAACTGCCGGCAATTGGTAGTCTGCTGGGCGGCTGCTGCACAGGGAACTTGGAGTGGGGAGCTAATAGGGGGGCTGCTGGTCCACCCTGGTTCCAAGCCCCCACCAGCTAGCTGCAACGGGCTGTTCTTCCTGCAAGCAGTGGACAAAGCAGGCGGCTGCCAAACAACGTTATAAGGGAGCATTACACAACTTTAAATGAGCATGTTCCCTAATTGATCAGCAACGAAACAACGTTAACCGGGATGGCTTTAAGTGCGGAATTACTGTACACGGCTAGTATTCCTTCTAGTTACAGGAAATAGATGCTTTGCTGAAAAATACTAGATTTCATGATCATAGAAAGATTTTTGCTAAATTGAAACAAAGTGATTTAAATGTTGTTTAGAAATACAATCTGGTACTTAAATTTTATGATAAATAGCACAAAACTGATGACTCATGTAGATGCTTTCATATTTTCTTCCAAAGCTACCTATTTGGCGTCTAAACATGTACAACCCTACACTTACCTCCTCATTGTAGTATTACGTCACTAAACAAGGGAACAAAACCGTGGGCATGTTCAATTTTGCAAATAAATGACCCGTGAAAGTGGAAAAAACAGTCATTGTCTTAATTTGGGGTGGAGATATAAACCTTCAAAATACTTCTCTAAGATGGATCCTTCTTTGGGTTGCCATTATAAAACATTGAGTGATTTTCCCAATTTCCCTGTTTCTCATAATGCGAGTCTTACTTCACTGTATTTCCTTCATGTTGACCCTGTCATTGCTTAGATACAAGGTGCACAGACAAGATATGCAATAAACTAAGGAGCAGACAAAATAGCAATGGATACCATAGTGATAGTCTTTTATAAGAACAGACGCCACTAGCTTTCTCCTGGACACAGCTAATAATTCCCTCTATATATCTATTTAATTTCTAGCATGTATAGTAGATTTGACTACTCGCCACCATGTTAAAGAAAATTAATATGTAAACAAAGAAACAAGCATCCAAAATAAAATATTCTGTGGCTTTTATTTTGAAGGAATGGATAATTTCTTGAAGGGGGTGATGAGTGAGAAAGTAGGTGACAAATATTCATAATTTGGTAGAGTGGGCAATATAATACCGTATCTAGCATGGAACTTAAGTCCTTGCCCTCATTTTATTTATTTGCTAGGTAAAAGTTTCTTTGTCAGTAGGCATATAGTCATTTTGTAGCTTACTGAATTCTGAATTGTGACAGCAAGGTTAAATTTCTTAATGTGCAACATTTTTAATATGGTGATCTGTTAAATTTGAATCTGCTACAAGAAATTTATCTAGTCCAGTATTTTTCTGTATTCCTTTTCCTGCTATTGCAGACTCTTACCTTCACAATAATTATTCCAATGTCCCTCCTAAGTCAATCTGCTGGGTCATCAGAACCCAAACACTGCTCAATTCTTTTGTGGGCAGAGAACAATTACGTGTCTTGGTAAACAGTTCATACCAGAGTTCTGAATTCCACAGTAGATTGGCTGAGCAAAATCCAGATCCTGTCGGGGAACAGAATTACATCAATGTTCCTTTTAATTTGCCACAAATTTGTAACTCCCCAGTTGAGTAAAAAAGGAAAGTAGATATCAGGTTTTTTTTTTTTTAACAAGTTCCTAGGACTGACGCATTTACCCTTGGAATTTCAACCTAGTATGTCATTCCTGCAGAGTTCTTCTGAATATGGCAGTTCTTTTGGTAGCCCTAGCCCGGGCTCAGGACGCCTTTATTTTTCGAGTGCTTGCTCAGGTCGATTCCATTCTAGGGTGTGTGTTCCCACATGCACAGTTGTTGGAGACTTTTGCCTTAGTGGTATCCGTAGGGCCCGTTGTGGCACCCTGTGGAGTGGTAGTCTCATGCGACGGTATATCAGGCGCTACTGGCCCTACGCCCTCTCAGTTCCTTCTTACTGCCTGTGACAGTTGGTTGGCATGCCTGGTCTTGCTTAGCAAGAGCATTAGCAATTCTTCACTGTTCAGATGGTTCTCCTTTATTATCTAGTCAGTTATTAGTGAGCTGTTAAGTGTTTTAGTAGTTAGAGTCCCGGCTGGGACTTTGTCCTGGAGGGGGGCATGCCCCACTCCCCAGGCTTTAAGTTGTGTTCTGAGTGCAGCCAGCCGATGCCCATCAGCGACCCTCACGAGAATTGTCTGAAGTGCCTGGGAGAGTCCCATCGAAAAGACAAGTGCCAGATCTGCAAACGTTTTCATCTCCGAACTCAAAAAGAGCGGGACGTTCGATTAAGGACCCTCCTCATGGAGGCTGCTCTGCTCCCAGCATCAGAACCCTCACACTGGGATTCCTTGCGCGGTACTTCAGCGTCGGCACACAGTGCACCGCCAGCACTCGCCGGTACTGAAGAAGCGACCTAAGTCGTCTGGTCCGCAGGCACGATGCAAGGGAGCTTCAGGCAAAGGACCTGAGCTAGGCCTGGTGCCCGCAATGGAGGCTCTTGGGGGTACCACTGTGGTCAGACCCCCTAGCCCAGCCAGGGACCCATCTCTGAATCGAGGGAGCACTAGGGAGTCCCAGCCCATCGCAGGGCCATCTGTGCCTGAGGTGGGCCCAGCGGGCAAAGAACAGTTAGGCCAACTGGCACTGCAAACGCCTGGCCAAGACACCAGATCAGACGACCAAGCTGGTGATGGGAACGTCCCGGACCGCAGGCATTGTTCCCCTTCGCTGCGGTCAAAGACCCTGGTACTGCAACCCCGGTCTCCAGATCTCTGACGCCATGGTCTCGGCTGACAAGACACAGGACTCTGGAGTCGCGACACCAATCCCCATTTTCTTGGTACCGATGGTGGTCCTGGCAGAGATCACCAAGGCGCCGGTTGCCCATCGCCTCGCAGGCCGCCTAGGCGTCGGGTCTCCTCAGATGCGAGACCATTCCTGGTCGCAGCACCAGTCGCCGGGGCTATGGTATCGTTCTTTGGGCAGGAACAAGCCCTCGCTTTCCCCGTACCAGTCGCCGCTGAGAGTCAGTAGTCCAGATCGGAGGGACAGTTTAGCCCTTCCCCTGTCTGGGGAGAATCGTCTCCCTGCAAGGAGCCCACCAAGGCACCTGCAGCACCGGCATGGGCTCAGGGGCAATGGCCCACCCAGTGGCAATACTGCAGCCTGTGGGGGCTGCCTGTAATACTGGCACCGTACTCGCATTGTTCCTTCCAGACAGCATCGCACAAGCTGCTCCCAACACAGCCAGTGCCAGCATCAGAGCAAGAGGCCAAATCTGAGGTGGTGACCCTGAGGGAGGCCCAAGCAACTGTGGAATGGTCCTCGGTGCAGCAAGGGGATGCCCCCCAACCTTCGTCAGAGCAGTCATCCTCATTGTCCCCGGATGAGGCGGTGGTGGGGCCCTCACAAACTAGGAACTCCCCTCCCCAATGACTTCAGGGAGCACCAAGCCCTCCTTAAAAGGGGTAGTGGCCAGCCTGAACTTGGAGGTCGAGGAGCTAGCTGAGGAACCTGATGACCTCTTCATTGTCCTTCCCTCCTCTGCCCCAGCCTGGGTTGCATTCCCATTCACCCAGGGGTCCTGAAGATTGCCAAGTCAATGTGGCAGACCCCATCCAAGAAGGCGGAAAAGAAGTACTATGTCCCCCCGCAGGGGTTTGAATACCTTTACACGTACCCTCCTGCAGGGTCCTTGGTCGTGTCTGCCATCAACGAAAGGGCCAGACAGGGCCAGGCGAGTGGCAACCCCAAAAATAAAGATTTCAAGAGACTAGACTTATTTGGCAGAAAGATTTATTCCACAGTGAACCTCCAACTTAGGGTCTCTAACCATCAGGCCCTACTTGGCAGGTACAATTTCAACCTGTGGGACTCCGTCGGCACGTTCAAAGAGAGCCTCCCACAGCATCAGGCACAGGAGTTCGCCACTCTCATAGATGAAGGCACGGTGGTAGCCAGGGGTGTCCTCCAGATGACCTGGGATGCCACAGACTCGGCGTCCAGGCTGCTCACCTATGCAATAGCCATGAGGTGTAGCTCCTGGTTACAGACCTCTGGGTTGTCCCAGGAGATGCAACATACCCTCCGGGACCTCCCATTTGAGCGAAGGGGGCTCTTCTTGGAGCTAACTAATGCTAGGCTCCATGGCCTTAAAGACTCCCGTGTCACCCTCCACTCCTTA